GAAAGCAATGGCACTAACTTTGGCTTAAATGCAATCCATTGTAATTAAGCATTAAAAACAAACTCCTTATTAACTGAAGAGAAAAATTAAAGTAAAAACATTATTATTGGAGTTCAGCTTAACGTAAAGACTTTAGAAATATAAGTTTTATATTATTTATTAATTATAATCCTTAGTTTAACCTTTTATTTTGATGGTATTTAGATTTTAAGATTGTTTTGTGAAAATCTCATATTTCATGAAATATACTGTAATCACTTTATATACAAAATATACAATAAATTTCAAATATGTAAATCAAAAATAAATTTGTAAAAATATTAACTATTCCTGTATTGAGATAATGATTTCTTTAGGCATCTCTCTCTCTCTCTCTCTCTCTCCTTTCTCTAAATAAGCTAATAATTTAAATTCAAACGAAATATGACTTAAACACTGCATTTTCATACAAGAATCATAAAACAATTGTATATATACTTCGCGACACACATCATTTCATAGTTATAATTCCCATAAATTTCGTATACATAAAATTGTAAATTGTAAGTTATTACAACTATTTAGCATTAATTTATAAGTTTATATATACGAAATTTATGGGAATTATAACTATGAAATGATGTGTGCTTCGCGAGAGAGTTGAGAAAAATTAATCTCAAAAATTGTGGCCTCAAAACAAAATATACAGAAATATTTAATGCTTTTATTTATGCGAATAAATATATAAATAAAATATTATTCTTGAATTTAACTTTTATTTTACGACTACTATTTAATTATTATTATTATAACACAAATAATCTTTATATTATCAGTTAACACTAACTGTTCACAAAAGTGCGAGGGTGTTTTTATGTGCCATACATTTTAACAATAAAACTATCATAAGTTATTATTACATGAACTGAAAATAATATTCACTCAAAATTTATTTGCAACTATTTTTGAACATCTTTCACGCCGACTATCATTTTGTTATATAATTTAATATGATTTCCATACATAATATACATGTCTATTCTGTATATATACTGTAGTGTTTAAACGAATATTCTGTGCCTAAAAAATAAATCCAGAAAATTGATCGTAAAATGCATGAAATAACCAATTTTTCATTAATGCTAAAATCAATTTACAGTCGCTTTGTTTGGTGTCAAACGATCACAATGTCATATACGGCTCGCATGACAATGAAAAATGTCATTTTGTTTAAATTTGATTTTCACGGCATTTATTCATTAATTCATTTTTGCTTTTTTCACCGACAGATATAATGTCATAATATTGTTGGTCACATATATGCTGCCAATCGTGTCCATGAGTTACACGTATTTCCGTGTGGGTCGGGAACTGTGGGGCAGTCAGAGTATCGGCGAGTGTACTGCCAAACAAATGGAGAGCATTAAGTCTAAACGAAAGGTACGTCACCATGCTCATTTTGATACCGTATATAATAAACTATACAATCATTAAAAATATCGCTGAAAATGTGTTTACGTCATGACAAATGTGTGACACCTTTTTGGCGCTAATTTTTATTGACTTGAGTTATCAAAACGAAAATCCGGAATATTCTGTTAACCCATTTATTTGATTTGTTTATTTGCTTTTTTTCTATCTAGATTGTCAAAATGATGATGATGGTTGTGGCTATATTTGGAGTATGTATACCAAAACGACTGCTGTATTTATTGCCGATACAGCTCTACAGTGCTGTCAAATATATTTGTTTTGTTTTTTAGTCCCATTTTATATATTTGTTAATAAACTTATAATTATCTTTTGGTATATTATTTATTTGACAAAAATTGTCTAAACTGTCGATGAGATCGGAGATAACAGTCAGTGATTTAGAGATATTGTCGTTTATCTCTCTCTCTCTCTCTCTCTCTGAAGTCTATTTTATTCTTATATTTTATTCTTTGTTTATTATTCTCTCTCTTAGTTTTTTATGTTAATTTGTTGAGAGCTTTTAAGTTTATTTTTTCATTGCTCTCTTATTCTCTCCCTTTTTATGTTTTTCTTACTTTCAATTTCAAAAGCAAAACCACTTAAAGAATGTATTTATTGTTTTTATATTTCATTTCCACTTTTAACGTATAATATTTGCTCTCATTTTAGTGAATATCAAAAAACCTAAACTCCGTTTAATTTATCAAATTATAAAAACATTTTATAAGTTAGAGTAGAGGAATGCATAAAAAAAATAAAACTTACATTTCAAACACATATTAGTATACATTATATAAAACACATTTATTTTTCACACAACATAACTTTACAGATCAACACCAAATTAGTGCTAACAAATATCTAAACCTTAATATAATAATGTTATATCACTTGTCTAACCATGGCATTTCTCTCCCCACTCCACCTACACTCTGGCCAGATATGTTGGGCCCCATACCACGTATACTTCCTGCTGATGCATCACTACCCGGAGATTATATCCTCGGATTACGTTCAACACATCTATTTATCCATCTATTGGTTAGCGATGAGTAATTCAATATACAATCCGTTCGTCTATTGCTGGATGAATTCAAGGTATGCGATCAGCATGGTGATTTATATGATATTAAATATTACATGTATATTCTCAGAATTTCTTATATTACAAAAGTTTTATAGGAATTTTTATGATAAAAACATTATATGATGGTTGTTTATTCCCAAAATGCATTTTCAATAATATTAATATCAATACATTTTATATTCATGTAATAAGTATAAAACCTAACGATTAAGGGTATGATTATTGTTATAGTCGTTCATCATTTATATGGATTTCAATTTGAAACACAAGCACTTAAAATGGTTTTTGTTTGATCATAACCAGCAAATAATTTCTTGTATATATTGCTAATATATAATACCGTTTTATATAACCTTTCAATCGGCTCCGGGATGTATCTGTGCTGTAGATATGCGGTATATGTTATGTCTTAAGTATAAGAAAGAGGATTACATTATATTTCTAAATTGATTCTCTCATCAATCCATTAAAGATTATATATCTATAAATATCTGTAAATATATTTAATTTTGGTTTAGATATAAAACATTTAATCTTTTATTTTAATCAATTATTTTGTATTTTGTAACTAATTTTTGAAGATATTTTAAAGTATTTTGACTTTTAACGGAAAATCATTTGTGTTTTAAATATTGTATTAAAATTAGTACCACTTATTAATTAAAAGCGATTATTTAAAACAGAATAACTTAATTATATATTTAATACATATATTATATTATATATACATTAAGAGGTATCTATAATTAAAGCCTAATATTATCGTTGATTAATTGCAAAATAAAAAAATTAATTAATTTTTGTTATTGTTTTGTCTAAAACAAAATATAATACCATAATGAAATTAAAATCTATTGTTTCTTAAATTCAATACTTAAAGTAACAAACAATGGACATGCATCGCTGACTCTCTCTCTCTCTCTCTCTCTCTTTTTCTTTCTTTCTTTCTTTTTATTCAATTCTCTTTCACATCAAATATAAGGCATTATAAGTAATAATATCAACATTTTTCTATTATATACCATTTTATTCAATGATTCTGTGCTCTAAATTCTGTATATAATTCTGTCAATATTGTAGTTAAGGACAGAATCTCTAAAGTAATAGTGAATTGACTGACCTTTTGATCTCTCTCTCTCTCACTCTCTCTCTCTCTCTCTTTCTCTCTCTCTCTTTCTCTCTTTTTTTTCTTTCTTTCTTTTTATTCAATTCTCTTTCA